TTTCGATTTGGCTTTGGTAAACTGCCTTCTTCTAACCTAGGAGTTGTTTTCCATCTTATTTTCTCTCCTCTGTCCAGCTGAGAAGGGGGAGTAATAGATGATCTTGGTGGGCACAGGTTGTCTAGCCAAGGTCAGCTCAACACGATAGGGCAACTTGTATCGTGGTCATTGTACAGTGTAGGGAAAGATGGCTTACTACCAATATTTACTTGTTTTGGGAACGAATGGAGCACTCATTTGTGGACCCTTTAACCCACAGTAAAGTCATTGAAGTGTCTGTTTGCTTTCTTTCATATATTATAGACTGAAAGAGATAAAAAAATGAAATTTAGCTTGATTAAATTCAACATGTAACTTTAAAAATTTTATTTGCTGTTTATCACCGATTAGGAAAGACACATGTATAATTTTCAAAAAATTTCCTTCATGGTTTAGGAGTCAGAGGAGTAAGAGGCAAATACAGAACAAGATTGCCTAATGGATAGTAAAAGTGGGAGATAGAAAAATAGCAATCACTTCCGGAGGAAGCTTGAAGCATACATTTAGCAACAGTCTCTTAATATCACACTATTTTGGTCTGTTTGTGGTGAAGTGTGCTCAAGGAAAAGATGTGTCAGGATTTATGCAAATATGAGAAACTTAAAACACCTGAAACCTTTCCGAAATGAAATGTACTCTAGTATTAGTGCATGTTTTTTTCCCTAACATTTAGGCTCTATTAAACTTGGTGTGTAGTATCAAGGAATAGATTCAAAGGCATTTTCTGGTGTATTGAATCATATAAATTGCATGGGTTTTTGTATAATATTCATGCTGATGGAATTAATTCAATACAAATTTTCAGCTTCCTTCATTATCAGGCACCATCAGCTTCCTAACAGGCAAATTTCAGAAAGGTCTTTTAGATTTTTCTTATTGAAAATCCCTGACCAATTCTTTGATCTTAATTGCCAGGATCTCAGATTTGATAGTTTTTGTGACATTTGTTTGAAGATCTGCCTTTATTAGTCTGTCTGATAAATATGAACATTTATCATGTCTGATATGAACATGAAGCTGTATTGCTCTCTCAAGGGAAGCAGTGTTGTGTCTTCCTTTTTTCAGCTTCCTGGATGCTGAACGCTGCTTGCATCTGTTCACTGCCTTCCCACAGAGGAGCGGTGGCAGCAGCACGAAACTGATACTATCTTTTAAATCTGCACAGCTGCTGGTATGGCTCTGAGTCACAGCAGTGAGGTTGACCACAATCTTGTTAATGCACTGCTATTTGAGCAGTCAGTTAGTAAAAACAGAGTCACTCAGCTATCAATGATAGACTTTGGAATAAAGTGCTATGATTTTTATTTGGTTCTTGCTTGAAAAACTTAAAAGGAAAGATGAAATAATATATGAATTCCTACTATAATTTCCATAGCAAAATCAAACCGTGTGCTCACTGTGGGCAGGTTTGAAGAACTTACCTTTTTAAGAAGGAAAAAAGAGGAAGAAAAAGGGTGGGGCCAGTAAGGCACAGTACAAAATGAGGTTTCTTTCTTTTAATCTACTAAATGAGTTGTTTCAATTCATACATAAAGGATTTTTAATGGTTCTGTTGGTATTTCTCATGTGTTCCCATCTTTTTCAATATAAATTTCTCTGACTGTAAAAGATTTGGGTAATGTTATTTGTAGGCATAGGTGGTATTTGTAGTGGATAGTAAAGTGTATCTTTTTTAATTTTTAAAAAACTTTACCTCCTTTATGTCAGAAGTTTGATAAGTTGAATTAAACCCCAGAGTTTAAAATGATCCTTCCTAATTAATAGCAAGACCCCCTTGCTTTTTTATATAAATGAACTAGAAGCAAGTTAGATTTTTTATTAGCTTACAGCCATGTTCCTTCGTGTTGTGTTTTCAACATCATAATTGTTTTTCAGTGACGTGTATGGTACCATCTTCCTTCTTCTGTGAAGCTTGTTGATCTTTTTTTTTTTTTCTGTGACTGTCCTACATTGCTCATGGCCTTGTCTTTTGGTAGGATAGACTTTCTCTTTTGAACTAATTACTGCAATTTGTAACAAATAATCATGAGCTGTACTGCACAAACTATTTTCTTTCTCAAATTCAAACCCAGGTTTGTTTTTCTTATTTTATTTCTTAACCTTATTTCAAGAGACAGGTTTTGCTAGCATTTCAGCTTTTATTTCGTTTTTATGTTGAGTGTATTCTCACTTAACAATATTCTTAATTGGGCTTTCCTGACAGCTTTTTTTCAGTCATTTCACTCATTAGCCTGTGTCTACAGAGTGTTCTTTCTGTGTGGTTTTCTTGCCTCTAAATTTTCTGATTCTTTTAGTTAAATTTCTAAAGATGGTTACTACTTTTTCCTCTTCTTTTATGTACTTTTCCGGACTTTATCTGTACTTAATTTTAGTTCCCTTAAGCTGGTTTGATTTCAAATCCCTTTTGACTGCATCAGCACTAATAAAGTGGACCATTGTCTGGTATTGAGGACAGCTGGCACAGATTGAGATTTGTCCTTTCTGTTAATCTTTCAGCCTTCAAAACAGGTAGCTATGTGCAGTACCATTTGGAAGTTTTCCCAGCCATGTGATAACCCTAAGATTGTTCCCAGAGGTTGGAAGAGTGCAGTTGGCCTTTATCAAAAGTATTTCAGGACTTGTTCTGACATGATGATTTGCATTTTAGTGTCTGGGAAAGTTTTAGTCATTAATATATTGATGTAACCTTTAAGGTTAACTTTTATAAAGGCAGTAGTCAAGCCAGTTACCAGCTAGGTTAACTCAGTTTTATCTGTGATCTGCTTCCTAAAAGGCCTACTCTGTGAATCATTATTATTAAATCTTGTGCTTTGAATGATTCTACTAGCTGTCTAGAATGAAAAAAAAAAAGAAACCCAACAACCAAAAAAAAAAAAAAAGAAATAAACAATCTAACAATCTCTCACAACAGTCCTTCCAAGTCCTCATCCACTTAAATTTTCTGATTTGGTAATTTATAGGAGGTCTACACTTTCCTTCTCACTGTAACTTTCTCATTCTAATGTTATGTGGAGTGTTTGGCTTCTGTTGCATTCTGGATCTTAGAACAAGTATACAAATCTTAAGATATCCGAGACAAGATTCCTGCTCCACCATATATATCCGTCCTTCCTGAGCCAAGTATGCTCTCTAACGCTATGGAGTATCCCACTAAATGTGTTGTGTCAGTTGAGTTATATTTTTGTTTACTTTCTGAGATTTCCAGCAACCCTTAGTTTTATTCCCCATAGTTCTTGTGTTAGTTTACTGAGAATCAGAAGTTCACAAGGAAGCTCTGAAGATAGTCTACTGTTTACCACCTTCTCCTCCCTGTGACCCTTTAACTACCCACGCTTGCCACTCATTACTTTGGAGCTGTGATCTAGGTTGCCATTTGTAAATCTTGTTATTTTATCAAAGAGGACACTCTTTGCCTTTAATTTGCTCACTGGTGATTTGAATGACAGCAAATTTTTAGCCTGCCAGGCTGGGAAGCACAGATGGCACTTCATATGGCTGAGAAAAAGTGGAACTCTGGGGAAAAGAAACATATGTTTTCCTGGATTTTAGAGAACTAAGAGAGGTCCAGTGCTTGAAGTGTTTTTCCAAATTTTCCCCAAATTTGTGCTACACATGCAATAGTGTAATGTGTGAGCAATGTCACTCTAGCATACATGAACCTTTATAAAGTGAAAAATGTAGGGCTGCAGACACTGAACAACAGTGACCTGTCTTCCAGGAATAATAGGATGTGTCAGCCATGGACATGTAAATAAAATGGAAAGATAAGTCAAGCGGTTGGGCCAGTCAGTGTGTCTTGAAGGAGGGGGGCAGGAAAGAACTTGCATAGTGTCACATTGATTAAAAATATGCTTACATTTGGGATGTTATTGAATAACTTAATTGTTTGTCTCCTTAATACGTCCATAAAAGAAATCAGTGGATTTTGTACTGTTCTGTGTACTGTATCAGTTTTGTAGACAGTGCTGAGTTTATGCCTTGAGAAATGATTATGTGTGAAAATTTCAATATCATGAAGGGACTTTATACCTTATAGCAACTATTTTATGTTTTCTTCTGTAAGGGATAAGCACTAAATGATACTGAATTTTGCTCCTAACTGTTATTTGTGCTATTAAAAATGGTGTACTCTTAGAACAAGGTCAAAGTGTCAAAGTCATATCTGATAAAGAAAAACAAGTGTGAGGTGATCTTTGTCTTTTAGGCTTGTTTTGAGGAATAGTGAGGAATAATGCTCCCAGATCTTGTTTGATTGAAGTGAAATTTTATTGAACAACTGTATGTCCTTCTCAAACCAGTGGTAATCAAAGCTTGTTTGAAGGGGAACCTCCTTTACAGAGTTGAACTGCAGAAAGAATCCTTTGCACTCCTCTGCAAAACAGCTAATTCCCAAGAGCTTTCTTCTGTGTGCAGTAGAAGTTAGATGATTTGGCTTTGATCCTTGCATATTATGGATTGAATATATTCCACCTTTTTTAGCTCTAGCAGTAAGGAATCATAAGGAAAAAAACACCCAACCAAGCCCTAAGCCATTATATAATATATATTGATAACCTTATTTTTTTTAATATAATCATTAAAAAGATGATCTGCCCCTCTGTTTCCCTGGGATGTTCTTTCTTTCCATATTTGTTTAAATAAATTTGCTTAGTATCAGCAACTAATAATGCTACCAGACAGATGGATTGATGAGTATAAGAGAAACGAAGTTCAGTTTTTCAGTTAAATAACTACTTCTCTATTAGAATGCAACAGTATATCTTAAAACTGGAAGAATCATGTTCTGAGCCTCACTTGGCTTACAGATGGAATAATTTTTTTCTTTACTAATTTACTGATTTTGTTGTTTAAGTGGTTTTATTGTTTAAACTTGATTCTTTTCATATAATGTTTTCCCTAACACAGATTCAGTGAGTTCTCTGCCAGCTACTTGGAACTGTAGAGCCAGCACTAAAATATGCAAGTGACTTCACTAAAAAGCTGGTCTGTGTGCTTCAGAAATTGCTTGTACTGGAGAAGGTAGGATTTTCACACTTAGTAGTAGATTTGTCTGTTTGGAGTAATAGAAAATGATTTAAGTTTAATAAAAACCAAATAGATTGCAAATTCACATACCTGAGCACAGATGAGAACTCCTGGTACCAGAAAGGGGGATTGTTTTTGTATGACCCAGATCCTGATCTGTTTCTTTCTCAGATCATGTGACTTCGTGGGTGTAACTTGATTCTAAACCACACCTCCTGGTTTCTAGCTTTTGAAAAAGATTGCTGGGACCAGCTAGTAAAGGTTGATTTACATTTAGAATGGCATATAGCTCTGATCACAGTCACACCCAGAAAAGTCTGAGTCCTTGGGATAAGAAAGAACTGTTAGTGTGATTAAGCTGAAGTTGCCTTCTTAAAGGAGAATGAAAGAATTTGACAAGTAAGACCTAGGAAGAATAACAAAAGTCTCAATTGGATTTGAGGGCATATATGGGAGAGAAACATCTGAAAATAAATGTATCTGAGGGATAAACTTAATAACAAATCTTGTTTGAAAATCAGAGGATGAGGTCTAGTCTCAGTAATGGGGAGAAAGAAACTCAGTGGTTCAAGATGATGTTTTGTGTATTTATATAAGAAGACTGTGTAAGATTATGAGGTTGATCCTTGAGTCAGAAATTAAAAATAAACATATGAGATTTTGTAGTCATAGAATAACAGAAATCTCTGAGAAAGAGGATAGAGCAGACAAGAAAATATTTGATTGTTATTTGTCATAAAGCTTCCAAGTTTACAAATTCTGTTCCTTAGGGCTACCGCTGGTATCCTATTCAGATCAGAGGGGAATATTTTTTATTTTTATTTTTTCTCTTCTTGGTGCATAGTTTATCTTTTTTGAAGCAGAGACAATTTGCCATTTACTAAAGGTGGGATTTTGAGTGATGTCTGATTCTTTCTGTGGTATTAGGCAAGTATGGCCTGGCATAAGGATCTAGTGTCTATGTTCAAAGTTAAATCAGTTTACCCCAGACAAATGGGAAGGGAGAAGTGTTTCCATTTTCTTCCCACTGCTGCACCCTTCTGTATTCCCGAGGTGATGTAGGTCTTTTCATCTAACATGTAGTTGGAGGCACTTAAAATGTGACATCCTGGAACTCTATTATCTTGCTGTTGTGCATTCAAGTTTTGCATCTTTTTCAAATTCAATTTCAAATTACATGAAAAATGCTGAGGAAATGTTTTGGACTTGGTTTTGAATGGATTCTTGCAATGCAGGAGACTGGATTAAACACTGCAGATGGTATTGAACCCTTTATAAGGATATATATTTTTTTTATAAATAGATTAATTTTTCTAAAAAATAATTGTAGTGACTAGTCCATGTTCACCCAACAATTCAGTCAGAACTGGGCATATAGCCAAAATTTCCTATCTGCAAGGTCACTTCATGACCTTTATTTCCATAAAGATCTCTGCAAGAGGACCAGATTTATCTGGAAGAAACCACTGTCTAATTAGTGATATTTGTAAATATTGTTGAGGTGTTTGAACAACAAATGCAAAGATTTTTTTAAAATAGTTTTATCTTTTACATTTTAAATAGAATTCCATTTTCAGGGATTTATTAGCAATACTAAGCCAGAAACTTGCAAACTCTTTGATAGTTTTGAAGTTTTGAATGTCTCAGAGTAGGCCGTTTTAAGATAATCACAACTGATGCAAAATTACTGTCTATTCTTTTTGTGGAACTGTGGAAAAAAGCCCCCAAAAGCTATATTTCTTTCCTCTTAGTTATAGATTTGTGGATTGACAGGAAAATTTGCCGTTTTCATGCATCCCGATTACAGTACAGTATTTGTTACTTCTTCGTGAGTTAGTCTGAGCAGACTATGGGCTACAAGAAAATACTCTAAAATAAGTACATAGTTGGTTGCAAAACAAAGCTCGTAACTCACATTAAAATTTAACTGTCATACAGGGAGCATGAAGCAGAGCTACGAATGTCTTGTCCAGCCTAAGCTGGGTTGTTTTGTGTCAAATCAACTCCACATATTTCAGTGTTTTGTAATTTTTTCTTTTTTTTTAATTGATCATTGACAGTATGTGGACAAATTTTCCTGCAGTAGAGATATAAACTACATTGGAACTTTTGGGTTTTTTCCTCCTCTGCTTTGTCAACAGCTATTGAGTAGCTACTACACTCCGATGGTAGATTAGTATGGAAAAAACCGACCCAGATATTCTTGCTTTCCTTTTATTGTTCTGTGTGTTTTTATGTATTTTAGGTTATCACAGTTTAAAATTTTGGGAAGTTTTTGTAGAGCATGGTGATTTTCTGAACTTGGTAGGACTGGAAGGTCTTTTGGTACTGCTTGCAATTTTATTACTTACAAATAAATCAGCTTGTAAATTTAATAATAGTTCTTTTCATTATTATATGAAATGTAAATGTTTCCACTTCATGTTTACCATGAGCCAATCTGTCTAAATCTATTTTTCCATACTCACATAATGTACTACCTTCTACTTGTTAATGAGGTTGCAAATATGAACTTGTAAGAAGATACATCATAATGTTTCATACAAAGGTAAAAGTAACTATCGTTCTAGACCATACTCTAATGGGTTCACTGTAGGGGTAGCTCTTGGAACAGATGGGCTCTGTATTTCATTCTGCCTGGCTTCTTGACTTACCTTCAGCTGAAAGTTTCACCTTTCCATTTTTGTGAAGCGGGCAGTGTAACTGATTTGATGAGAGGTACAATAAAAGAAATAGGTTATTTTTTCTGGAAAGGTAAAACCCTGATTTTGCTTTTTATACATGGAATAACAATGTTGTATTTTTTTTTATTTGAATGCCTGAGATACTTTATCACAGGAAAAGCTATAATCTTCATTGAGTGCTGCCTTAGCTGAAGTATACCAAAACTGTCAATCTCAAATGGAAATGAAAATAGGCTATCTCCCTCTTTTCCACAGGCATTCCATTTTTGGAAGTTCATGGGCTCTGACTTTGTAGGTGCTGATTATTTTAAATAATTTATTACATGAAAAAGAAAACACAAAATTCAAGGGTTTTTTTTTGTTTGTTTGTTTTGTTTTTTTCAATCACTGTTGCTGCTTTTGAGAGATTTAGAGTTGCCAGTTCACCTTCTTCATTTAATGCTACAGCTGTTGAAGCTTATTTTTGAAATATCAAATCAGTTAATTATCGTTCAAAAATAAGACTTATTTGGCAGAATTCTCATTGCAGTAAAAGTCAGTTATCTGAAGCATTTATCATTTTATCTTCTTCTCTCCTGTTCTTGGTACTATTGTTGCTTGAATTGGTTTCCTATTTATTTTTCTTTACTGCTTTTATTCCTTCCCTTAAAATCAGGTTCACAAATAAGCTTTTTCAAAAGCCAATTTATTGCTGTTTCACAGTCTGATATGTGCAGCTTTTGATTACTTTTCTGTTAAATGGCTGGGAATCAACATTTGGTTCAGTAGTGTGCTGCCATTCTGAATTAGACAACTGTCATGAAATTATGTAATAACTCTCTGCCTTGATAACCTAAAAGTAAGGTTTTGTTTAAAACAATTGTTTCTTCACTAAAAGGTTTGTCAAGCACTGTAACAGACTGCCCAGGGAAGTTGTTGAGCCTCCATCCCTGGGAATATTTAATAGTTGTGTAGATGTAGCTCTTAAGGACATGATTTAGTGGTGGACTTGGCAGTGGTAGGTTTATGGCTGGACTGGCTGATCTTAAAGGTCTTTTCCAAACTAAATGATTCTGTGATAAAAACTAATGATGTTCTTTTCCTTTTCTACTTTCAGATAACTACCTATGCTTCAAAATGGAAGTGAGGAAGAAGAGTCCCCAAAAGTATTAATTTGAATAAAAATTATTGTTCTTAAGTAAGTACTTCTTGTTCTTTGTGATGTTGCGTCCACAACTGACAACTGCTTTTCTGTTGATAAACCCTTGTCAGCTGTAAAAAGCAAACTTTGCAAAAGAGAGGTCAGCTCCTTCACTTTTGTGTCAGATTACTGACTAAATTGGGTCAGTCACCTGTTTCACCTTTCATTTTTCCTTACACCTATTTTTCTCCCTTCTCCTCCTTGCGTCTCATCTCTAAAAAAAAAATGAATCTATTAAAACATTTTTAATGTATTCTTCATCTTAGGTACAAAACCCTTTTTCTTTGACAGTATTTTTGGGCCCTTTCACCTGTATTGCAGATATTACATGTATTTTTCAAAGATACTTCTGTAGAAACTGGGCACAGGCCCTGTTCCATGAAGTGTCATTATGAGAGTTTTGAGTAACTAAGCTTCTGTGACTGTAAAGTATTGTGTGCTCTTGGATATCCTAGATCCAGTGCTAGATTTTTCTCATATGGTGACAACTATTAAAAAGTTAATACTTCATATTCTTACAGTTTTGAAGGTCTGTGCACGTATGATAATACTCATCTTTTAGGATACAATTTTTTATTTAAATAAAACTCTCTTCATTTTGAGAAGTTGCTTGATGAAATGAACTTCACTGAAACATGGATTCAGGTGTGAACTTGGAAACCAAGAGCATTATGACATTATTCTTTTTTTGATGCAAAGAAACAAAAAAGACTGTTATGATCAGTGTTCTTAATTATGATAAGGATAAAAAAGTTGTGAAAATGTCTTGAACTTTCACAACTGAACAAGAAGTTCAAGCAAATTTGTTGCAGATGAGATGCTTTTACAGTTCACCCAACTTCAGTACTGATTGTCAGGTTGATGACATCTAAAGTACTCCCAATTATTATGATTTATTTATACAGTTATAATTCTAGAAGTACTATGTTAGTGTAAGAGTTTAATGAATAGTTTAAAAAAAAAAAGAAAATATGGGATTTCAAATGATGTTCTAAGGACCTTGGGGTCAGAACAGAACAAAGAATATGGTGGTAGTTTTCCAAGCATCTAGTGTCTGGTTAGGTACCTTGAAACTGGGTTAGCTGTTGTAACTGCTTCCTGTTGCTGAAAGGAGTTGTTTCCATTTCTGAACCCAGCTTTCTTCCCTATTCTGATGAAACTGGTTAACTGAATTATCTTACAAATACAGAAAAGAGGTGGCTAATTTTGTTTCTGGGTTTGTGGATTGGATCAGCTCAGATAAGTGTTCCAGAAGTGTTCCAGTGGTGCAAAGGAAGAAAGAAGACTCTGCAGGCAGGAGCAAATAGTATGGGAGCATAACCTGTCCCTCCAGGCAGGAACCAGTAGTCAGTGAATCTGTCCAGCAGGTTGCAGTAATGGTGTCTTAAAGTTGTTAGACTGGGATTTGATAATTTGACCTTAGAGAGGAGCAGACATGGCTTCTATGAAAACTTTAGACTAGAATTGGCTAATTTTGGTAGATCCCGCATTGCTGTTAGTGGGAATGACCTGTTGATACAGAATAGAAACAATGATTCAGAGGGAAAAAATCTTAGCAGATAACTAGAAAATCTGTAATAATCTTCCCCCATCTACCTGCTGCCCTCCAGCTCTTCAGCCCCATGTGTAGTATCTGTGTAGTATCATGTGTATTATCTCCAAGTCTTGAAAATGAATGAAAGGTACACGTGAAGAATTGCATGACTTGTCAGAACCTCACCTCTAATCAGAATTGGTTGGTCCCTTGTATATGATGTTACATAGTACAGTAATTTGTCTGTATCTTGGTTTACAATTTTGTAAACTAAAATTTGTTTGTTTGTTAGAGCCTGCATGAATGCATATGTACTTAACTTATAGTTTTATACTTCATGTTGTGTTCACACTACCTTGATTTGTCTGTAAGCTGTGATGATGGTTGTACCTTCTGTAGAGATGCATTCCTTCCTTTGGCAAGAACAAGGAACAGTGGTTGAAAACTGCATGAAACCTCTTCTTGCCTTTTCTATTCCATCTGTATGGGAAGTTAATTAAAAGGATTTGTTCAGGTCTATAAATTGCAGTGCCTGGAGCACTAGTTAAGCCAGTGGTTTTGTACGCATTGCTTAACTACTAAAGGGAGATTGAGCAGTGGAGCAAAGCTGATTTAAGCTTAGTGTCTAGGTAAGATGTAGGTAGTGCTGGTAGGTTGAGACAAGTAACTGAGTACTAGAGTGAAGGTGATACCTTCCCCATATTACTTGATTATGCAATCTATGGATTGTGTTGGATACTTGCTTCCTGTCAGATTGCATAGCAAGCTGCATTTGGAATTACTTTTTGCTATCACAGTCTGGCTTGGAAAAACTATATTTAATCTATCTACTAATTTAATATTTTTTTCCTGATTCTTTACACATGTGCAAATATTTCCAAGGTAGTCTTTCCTTTTTTTTTCCAAATCATATTTCACACTTAGTTCAGTTGTGAACTGCAATTTTGTAGTTTATTAAAAAAAGAAAGATCAACTGCACATTTTTTATTACATTCTAAAATACTTTCTTATCCTTTCTTGGGCATTATGTAAGTTAGATTAATCTGTGATAGGCTTTTGAAGATATACGGGCCTTTTGTGGAGATTAGTTTATCTTGAGTTTTATTTATTGTAAGGGCACCTAAAATCTCGGATAGATATTCACTGTTTCTACATATCTAAATAGATCAGTGTGTGATTCCTGATGGAAAAAGAAAATATGCTTTCAGAAGGGTATATTGCTGAATTAGCCCTGCCCTTTTATCAAGACCGTTTATCTGTGGTTCTGGAGTATCTACTACCTTTCTCGCTTGCTACAGATTTCCCCCTTGCCTGAGGATCAGCAAAGTCTATTTCTTGTTCTGAAACATTTTGTTTCAGTTCACTCTTCTATTCTGGTAGTAATTTAGCTTGGATTCCTGCTTGAAAGATGGCTTATTGCTTCTCTGACTCTCTGAAATATATTCCCTATTAAAAGTGCTTTCTATATAAGTCAGTTCTGATGCAGCAGCACAAACAACAGTCTTTCACATTTTTCTTTTCAAGAAAAGAGGTTGCTAATGTATCCATTGACTTGCACATTTACTGCAGTGAAAAATGATACCAAATTGAGACACTGCAGAGAGGTTGGAAAACTAGAGTAGGATTTTACACAAAGCAACACATTAGAATGGTCGGGGGAAAATGGGATACAAACCATTAAGGGCAAACTTAAAATACTGCTTTTAAATTAAGGAAAAAGAAAATAGGCAAGTACAGGATAAGAAATGGCTGAGAGTTCTGAAGAAAAAGATTGAGTGTTAAGCACTGACCTTAAATCAACAGTATTGTGCACAAAAAATAGTTCTGAAAATGTAACATCGCATCAGGATGAATAAATGGAAGTGCTGTCATAAAACACCATGTAAATCTCTCTGTATAGCTTAGGAGTGGAACCACCAAGGTCATTGTGTCCAGTTTGGAACCAGGTGCTTAGTACATGCAAACAAATCAAAATTATATTGCCAAATTGGAGAGTCCAGAAGAAAATAGTATCCAAGATCATAACACTGGATCCAAGACCAAGAGAAGTTGAAATAATTTGAGGCTGAATTAATGCAGAGAGTAAGTGTTGCTATTCTAGGTCTTTTGGAAGACCATAAAACCTAATGAGCTTACATTTTTACCAGTGGAGATTAATGCATTGTGGCTTATGAAGCACTGCAATAGACTGGGAATAGCATATGTCTGTCTTTGGAAGTTCATAAAATGTAGTCAGACGCAAGAGCTTGTGTGATATCCTGTTGGAGGAGAGGAGTGATCTAATAACTTTCTGATAATCTTACTACACTTCATGATTTAATGTCTAGTTTCTAGATGTTTTGGTTTTGGGGGTTTTCTGTTGTTGCTTTTTTTCCCCCCCTCTTAACTGTCTATCTCTTTTGTGAGTGGAGCATAGGGAGAGCAGCTTTTTGCAAAAGATGCTGAGAAGCAGCAGAGAATTCTTTATACAGAAAGCAGTCTTTTTATTTTAAAATTTTTTTAGCCTAAATATTTTCTTCCAATGGACCAGGTAACAGGTAACTTTTTATCTTGAATGGATATAATTTTAAACTTAAATAGTCCAAATCTAAAACACTGACTGAAAATTTGAAAAACTAGACATGGTAACCTGGTGGATATTATTTGGTTCCAAGTTAGTATAATTTTTATAGTGCCTGAAAAATCAAATTTCAAATATCACTGATAACTTACACCTTTTAAAAAATATCTATGATTAGACTGTTAAATTAATCAAAACCTATGTGTTGACAAATTGTTTAAGGGGACAAGATCAGAGCAAATAGCCAGGCAAGAAGTCTATTTTGTCTGCAATGTTTCTTGCTTCACAAGTTCCTGCAGTTAAATATGTGAGGATCTATATCACAGGATTTTTTTTTTTCATTTTGTGTTTAATATGAAGAAAGAAATTGTACTTGTCATGGTGACAAGAACAATATGAGGTTAAATATCAAGGCAACACCTACAATATAGAAGTATTCTGTGGTTGTTTTGGCTTTGCTCTTTTTTAATGATGTAATTATACTATACTAATAATTCTGTACTTTATTGTTTTGATTATGTTAAATAGTGGCTAATAAACACTTCTGAAATTGGAAGAACCTGTTGGCATAGGAAAATCTTCATTTAATTCTTTTTGCACTTCAGTCTTGGTGGAATTTTTTTTGTTACTTTTATTCTTAAACAACTGTTGAAATAAACCAAATCTAAAGGGAATAAGAAAAATTAGATGCTTGCCAGTATGTATAAAAACCCAATCAAGACAGAGGTTAATTATAGGATGATTCACTTGAAATTGATCCTAATGGTACAGTCTTTTAATGAGATTGATTTTTCCTAAGCATATTTGTTGTAACTCATGTTAACTGTATTAAAATTTGTTAATGAATGCAAAAACTGTCAGTAAGCAGGGAACTTTCAAACCCTAAGGAAGGTTCCTGTATGG